CCCTAACAAATTCCAGATAAATCTGTTCCCAAAAGAAATAAACAAATAAAGAGAAATTAAAATGGAATGAGTTATTCGGAAATTTTATAAACTGTCTTTGCTTAAGAATGGAAACCAAACAAAAACAATATAAAAATAAAAACAAAAGAATAAAAAACCATTTACAAAAAATACTAAGAATACCTCCGATAAGTCCAGCATATGTTGTAGCACCAACCAACCAGCAGCAATGGCACCAACCATTCATTCTAGCCCAGGCATAACATTTAGATATTTATCTGAACATTTTCCTATTGACAGATGGATGGATAGATGGTTGGTTGGGTGGTTGAGTGAGTGAATGAATGAGCTGTGGAATGGTTTATGGCTTATGGACAGACATTTATTCTATTGGACGAAGTGTGACTAAGTTAGCCATTAATCTCAAGCTTTGACTAAAGGTATTGTTGTTAATGTGATTATTAATGTGTTGTTGTTGGGTTGGCTGGCTAGCTGGCCGGCAGGTTGGCTAGTTGGGTGTTGTGGTTGTGGCTACACATTTTGCGGCTGATTTATGATGATTTGCATTAGAAAACCTAATGAAAACCGTTAATACTAGCAACTAAGAAGAAAAAAGAAATTAACTGTTATTCTTTGTGTGTTTTTGTACTACCCACCACCACCACCTCTTCTTCTAACCTGTCGATTCTTTAATGATCTAGACTGAGAAACCCAAATATTTAAATTTCATTTGAATTAAGTTAAGAAAAAAGAAAAGAAACGCATTTCCAAACAATTCGACAACAAAAAATTCCAAATGTTTCAGTGAAAGTGATATTTCGGAAATAAAACCGAAAACAACACAAAGCCACAAAGAAATTATTGAAAATTTATTATTGGTTTGTTAGAAGCCGAAGAAAGAAGCCAGCAGCCAACAGCAAATAAATATTTTAGGCCGCTGATGATTGCAACGGCCTGCGGCTTCAGTCAGTTATCAAGATCATAGGCTTAGAGTAAGATGTCGGATATTTCGGCGGTGTAGCTAACTAAACGAATAGACAGAAAATTTAATGTGACGAGAGGAAAATAAATTTAGCGCCCATGTATGGCAGAGTTCGCAGGTTAAACGTGTCATTGCATTATCGCGAAAATTGATTTGAAAATTAAAAAAAAAAATTGAAGAATAAACCGCAAATTAAAAAAAGTGTAAAAAAACAAATTTCCAACTAATTTACCTACCAAGATTGAAAATAGAAAACTTGAAAGGAAAAACTCTTAATGAAAATAAACTTGAAAACTGCAATCATAATAACAAACCAACAAACAAAAAGAAAATCGAAAAAACTGACGACAACAACAACAATTTTGTGCGTGAAAACTTGTTTGAAGTGTTGTTTTGAGTAGCTTACTACTAGCTGATGGCTTGGTAATTATCCTATGCCGGCTGAGAGTGACAACAAACCCTGAAGGAGATAGACACATATCCGAAACCCACTTAGTTTTGTGGAAACGAAAAAAAAATACAAAATGTTCATATAATGTCTTGCTGTATCAGTCAAACATGTCGAAGCGCCACAATTAGATAGACAACAACATCACACTAACCTAACCAGGTTACCACCAGCAATCCAACCGGCAAATCAGTCCGCCTTTTTTCGTCTCGTTTCGATTATTTTGCATATTGCTGGTTATTAACCTTCATTTGAACCTGATAAACTGTGAGGAGTAGTAGCAACAAATATTGATTTGCCTGGATAGCAAATCTTTGTACACACAAAATATATCGGCAATATGTTGCTGGATTTATTTTGTAATAATCTTTGGTAAGTTTTTTCGAGAAATGGAAGAATGATTTTATCAGAGTAGGAATGAAGTAATCGCCTTGGCCTGTATAAGGGATAAGGGAATACTGCCCTTCTTTCAGTGTTTAATCAAGAAATCTAGGGGTTAATAGCCCTTTAAAAAAGATTCTTCAAAAAATCAATAACAAATGTTCTTTAAAAAATCAGGGGCTCAGAGGAACATTTGACTGCACAAAATATTTTTTTATAGCATTCCCGAGAAAATACTCTTTTAAGTTTTAATAGTCAATGAAAATCTACTTTAAAAAATCCACGCCTTTAATGGTCAAAAGGCATTGATCTCAAAAATCGTTAAAAAGTACATTTAAAAAACCCACGCCTTTAATGGTCAAAAGGCGTGGATCTCCAAAATCGTTAAAAAGTATTTTTAAAAAATCTACGCCTGTAAAAGCCTTCGAAAAAATATTTAAGCAAATCCACACCTATAAAAAATAATAATAATAAAACATTTGCGACTATAATAGTCGACAAAAACCCAATTTTTCAATTCTAGACTTAATTCAGATCGTTTTGTCAAATTTCGTGTCAATCGGAAAATTTATAGGGGCTTTGGTGCATCATTTACATTAAATCGGGCGAAAATTTATATGGGAGCTATATATAAATCTGAACCGATTTTCACGAAACTAAGCACACATCAATCTAGACTCAATTAAGTACGCTGTGCCAAATTTCATGCAAATCGAAAGATATATAGGGACTTTTAGGCACCATTTACTTAAAATCGGACGAAAATATATATGGGTGCTATGTCAAAATCTGAACCGATTTTCACGAAACTTAGCACACATCATTTTAGACCTAATTCAGCACGCTGTGCCAAATTTCATGCAAATCGAAGGATATATAGGGACTTTGGTACACCATTTACCTTAAATCGGACGAAAATATATATGGGAGCTATATGTAAATCTGTACCGATTTTCAGGAAACTAAACACACATCATTCTAGACTCAATTAAGTGCGCTGTGCCAAATTTCGTGCAAATCGATGGATATATAAAGAAAATGGTGCACCATTTAAATAAAATCGTTCGAAAATATATATGGGAGCTATATGCAAATCTGTACCGATTTTCATGAAACTTAACACATATCATTATTGTCTTAATTCAGTACGCTATGCCAACCAAATATCGTCCAAGTCGAAAGATACATAGGGACATTGGTACATCATTTACCTTAAATCGGACGAAAATATATATGGGAGCTATATCTAAATCTGGAAACTTAACACATATTATTCTAGACCTAATTCATTACGCTGCGCCAATTTTAGTGCAAATCGAAAGATATATAGGGACTTTTAGGCACCATTTACTTAAAATCGTACGAAAATATATATGTGAGCTATATCTAAATCTGAACCGATTTTCACGAAAATTAGCACATATCATTCTTGTCTTAATTCAGTACGCTATGCCAAATTTCGTCCTAATCGAAAGATATATAGGGACATTGGTACATCATTTACCTTAAATCGGACGAAAATATATATGGGAGCCATATCTAATTCTCAACCGATTTTCAGGAAACTTAACACATATCATTCTAGACCTCATTCATTACGCTGCGCCAAATTTCGTGCAAATCGAAATACATATAGGGACTTTGGTGCACCATTGACATTAAATCGGGTTAAAATATATATGGGAGCTATATCTAAATCTGACCCGATTTTCACTAAACTTACCACACATCATTACAGACTTAATTCAGTACGCTATGCCAAATTTCGTACAAATCGAAAGATATATAGGGACTTTGGTACACCATTTACCTTAAATCGGACGAAAATAAATATGGGAGCTATATCTAAATCTGTACAGATTTTCAGGAAACTAAACACACATCATTCTAGACCTAAAATAGGGGCTTTGGTGCACCATTTGCCTTAAATCGGACCAAAATATATATGGGAGCTATATCTAAATCTGAACCGATTTTTCCCAATTTCAATAGGGTTCGTCCTTTGGCCGAATAAATGACCTATGCCAAATTTCATCCAAATCGAATCATAAATGCGACCTGTACTTTGTTCACAAAAATACATGAACGGGCAGACGGACATGCGTAAATCGACTCAGAAAGTGAGTCTATGCATATTCTCAAAAGGAACAATGTGTCTATCTCGTTTCCTTTTGCCTGTTACAAACATATGCACGAAGACATAATACCCTGTACCACAGTGTGGTGAAGGGTATAACAATTTAACATGGACAGACAGACGGATATGCATAAATCGACTTAAAAATGATTCTATGCATATTCTCAAAAGGAACCATTTGACTATCTCTTTTCCTTTTGCCTGTTACAAACATATGCACAAAGACATAATACCCTGTACCGCAGTGTGGTGAAGGGTATAAAAAAGAACGAGATCAGCTGGAAAGAGGTGGAACTACTTCCGATCGTTCCTTTCTCGGAATAGTTCCAATGAACTAGTTCGTTTCAGAACTACCCAACTCTAATCCACACCTTCAGAAAATCAACGTATAATTTTTCTCAATATTGAAGGTTAATGTTAAAGTTATTTGTAATTATTCAGTGAAAACCATCCCAGTAAATGAATCCAAAACACTCCCACAACATTTCCAAGGGTGTGTAAGATAAATTATTTAATTTAACGGTCGACAGATCATCAATAAGGTGTTGTGATGTCCACAGCACCTTTCCAAACATTTAGTGGTTTTGTTGTTGCTTTTCAAATGTTCATTTGTAGTTAATTATCTGTCAGTCCCATCGTAAACCAAACAATATTATTATGCCTCCTCAAAAAGAGCCTAAATCATAATTGAATTGACAGCAATTCGAAAAAAATTACACACAGCCATTCGTTGGAGGTGTTGGCTAGGTAATGATTAGCTATCTAACTGACAAGCAACAAAAACTCCCGCTGACAAGCAAGCTATAAATTTCAAATTATCATAAATTTTTTGCATGATTGTTATGAAGATGGTTATGGAAATGCAAAAAAAACTCCAACAACAATAACTTTGTACATTCATCAGTCTATGTCCATACTCATAATCTTCCTACTCAGGCTAATCAAGATGTTTTAAATGACACCCATGTTTTTGTGTAGTTTTTTGTTTTTGTTGTTGTCATCATTAACTAATGAATTTCTTTCCTCAATATTTTTCTTTTACTCATTTCCAGTGAAGTTTCCTCAATTTCCCATAGTTATCAAATGGCTCCCAGTGTCTGTCAAAATTCACCCAAATTACCGCCACACAATAATACACAGTCTGGTGTACATAGCGGTGGCGGCGGCGGTGGTACTGGCAGTGGAGCTACTGGAAGTAACAATCATCATCATCGAACGGGTGGCACGGCCATGGTCGGTGGCGGTTCTGCATCTGTTACACAACGCAGCAATTGTGGCAGTAGTAGCATCAATGGTTCCATGGCATCATATAAAATGTCAACAACATCGGAAACAAGCTGGTCCCAGACGGTATACAGTAAGGTAAGTGGAAATTAAAAAAAAAAATATTAATTGTTTAATAATATTGGAAAAAAAACAAATTTTTGCAAAATCTCGGAACTTATTAGAGAAAAAGAATTCCCGTACCGGGAATCGAACCCGGGCCTTCCGGGTGAGAGCCGGATATCCTAACCACTAGACAATACGGGATTGTTAAAGAAATCCCACATAACTCTTATAAGAATATTCCAATATAAATGTAGTGTTGCCACTCTTCATTGGCATTTTCATACCAAAATGTGAAATATTTCTACAAAATCCACGGCTCTTATAAATAATGAAAAAATATATTTATATTCTTATAATTAATAAAAAGGCATTTTTATAAAAACCACGCCTCCTTTAATTTATAAAAACTATTTTTAAAATGCCGCCAATTATAATAATTAATAAAACAATGTTTTTAAAAAAATCCGCATCTCTTAGGATGAAAAATATATTTTTATAAAAACCACGCCTCTTTTATTAATTAATGAAAAAAAAACATATTTTAAAATAAGGAAATAAAAAGCTTGAAGCAAAATCCTTGAAAAAAATCAAGTTTGTGAGACATCTTGAAAAATATTTTTAAAACACGACATGCATTAAAAGCACGCAATAAAAATATTCGTATAATAATCGCATTAAAATAATGTGAAAAAGCCCTCGAAAAAATATTTCTTAAATACCTAACGCTTCTGAATGCTCAAAATAATTTTTAAAATCGTTATTCTGAAAGCCGGTGCTTAACATTTTTGAAAAGTTCGCCATTTAATAATATTTGAAAAACTTCCCACTTCATGAGGCCCTTAAAACATATTTTAAGAAACTTCACGGTTCGATAAGAACTATAAAAAATTGTTCATGCTCCTAAGAACAATTAAAAACTTCAGGCTAATAGAAAATCCCTTCTGAAAGCCCTGGAAAATAATTTTTTGAATGCAGCCTTTAAAACATTCATGGTTCTGAAAGCCTTATAGATTTTGAAAAGGATCTTTGAAAAAATCCACACTTCTGGAAGCCCCAGGAAAAAATATTTGAAAATATATAGTACGACGGGGCCGACAATATGATACCCTTCACAACTACCACTGGCTTGAAAGTTTCTGCGGATTGATATTTAGAGTCTTGGCAGTATTTCGCGATGTTTGCATTTGTATGGCATCTGTGGTATCTTTTCCGAATTATGTTTTCCTGAAGCAAATAATTACTTCATAAGATGCTAAATAAGTGTGTTAATGGTAATACTAAATAATATCAGAATACCTAGACAGTTGTAAGTATTGAATAAAACTCCCACATTCGAGTAGGAAGAACAATGTAATTGGTATCAATTTAAAGGACAATCACTCCTCTTCGATATACTATGCCCACTAGATGTTAATATATGCCTCATAGAATACAATTTTTTTAATTTTTTTCACAAAAGCCTGGGACCAGTTGACCTGCAAAATATTTACCGATTTATATCAAAACTGTCATGCTTATCCTTTGGCCAAATCCCCTTCACCCTGAAAAATGTCGTGATGTTCAGATCATACTTGTGTGAACAGGAAAACAGATAAAAATAAAATGTTTGGTACAGCATTTCTAATCACTTGTCCAAATTCCCTTCACCGTGGGTTGTGTTGTGATGTTCGGCTTTCAATTTTAGCCTATAGATCGACTCGAAAAAAAAACACCAAAAAATAAGTTTTCGGTCCATTTCATCCCAAAATTATTATCTGATCATCACCGAAAATTATAGGCGTTGTCGGTGACCATAACTTGAACCTCATGGAAAATTTCAAAACCATGAGCGCTATATTTCCGCCCTCTAGTGTGGTAATGGGTTACTAAATAATATATGAATACGTAAAAACCGACAAAAATAAAGTTTTTTGTCCATTTCATCCCCTAAATATTAACCGATCTTTTCCAAAAACAATAGGGGGGGACCAGAATCCATCCTATATGCAATTTCGAAAAGATTGGCCCATAACTGTGGCCTGTATTGTGTTTACAAATTATAATGTACAGACGGACGGACGGACGAGTCGAGATATGACGATCGGTATACTTAAAGGTGGGTCTAGGACCAATATTTCGCGGCGTTACAAAACTTTGGGGGCTGCACAAAGCTATAATACCCTGCCAACATAGTTGTGTAGGGTAAATTTACTCCATAAGATTCAAAATAGGTTTGGTTCATTTGACCCGCCAAATTTCGAATTAGTTGGTAAGTTTGTCTTCCCCATGGAAAATTTGTGATGTTCGTCTTATAATTGTGGCGTCTAGTGCGACTAAATAAGACTAAGACCAGACTAATTTTCGGTCCATTTTATCCCCGAAATATCATGTGATCATCATCGAAAATTATAGACGTCATACTTGATCTTAACCTGAACCTTATGTAAAATTGCCTAGCCTGCAGGGCCACATTTTCGCCCTTTAGTGGGGTACTAAAGAATATCAGAATACGTAGACACCTGTAAGTAGTGAAGTAAAACTCCCACATCCGGATTGGTATCAATTTGAAGGTCAACTCCTCGGGTCTATACCCATCAGATGTAAATATATATACCACAGAATAAAAATGTTGTATTTTTTTACATCCATTTAACCTACAAAATATTTTCCGGTTTATATCAAAACTGTCATGCTTATCCTTAGGCCATAAGGCCTCTAGAGCGAATAGAAAAACAGATAAAATAAAGTTTTTGATTGATTCCAACCCCGATTATTACCAAAAGCATTTACAAATTATAATGGACAAACGGACGGATACATATGTTTAAATCGACTCAGCTAGTCGAGATATGGCGATCGGTACCCCAAATGGTGGGTCTACAAACAATATTTCTCAGTATTACAAACTGTTGGAGTCACACAAAGCTATAATACCCTGACAACATTGTTATGTGGGGTATAAAAATCAAAGATTATACAAATTTTGAAAAAATAGTATAAAAAAAATCTCTTATAAAAACTCTTAAATATTTATTTATATAAACCCTATTATGAAGTCCTCAAAAATATCATTAAACATTCAGACTTAAAAAATCCGGACTAATAAAAATTAAAAAAAAACATTATTAATTCAAATCCCCTGTCCATAAATCTTGAAAATAGGTTTCTGAATCCATTATTTGGAAGGAATTAACATAACTTGTGGAATTAAATATATCCTCCAAGGCATAGAAATTCAAATCTCCTATTCTATACTTGACCAATTATTTAAAAAAATCAACCAATTTTACTGCAAATCATCCCTATTGGCAACATTCGTTATAAATCCCACACAAATGGTGGTTGAAAATAAATAAACCGACGCGCACAAATGTTTAAGAATTCAACACACATTCCTATCGATAAACAGCAGTCGAGGTGGATATCTAAAAATAGCTACTCAGTTCACCACAATGAGAACAGAGCTAAAGCAGCTGTTCAATTGAGTATGGTGAAAAGGAAATATGGCGTTGCCAACTATTAACACATAAAAAACGTTAAATTTGAAATTTATATTTCTTCACAAATTATGTTTTCATGATTCGAGCTTCAGGTCCAAGCTTTTGACTACTTAAATTGATTCCGGATAAAAAATTTAAAATTATTTTTTCAGTATGAAAAATGTCCATTAATTCTGCAAAATGGAATATTGAAGTAATATCCTTCTTTGCAAAACTTGAAATTGTATAATCTCCTTCGCCTTCTTCCAGGAAAATCAACGACCACCAGTTTACAATCCCGAAGATTATGTTGCTGCGTTGAAGAAATTTGGCAAACGACAAAGTGGACCCAATCCACGTTCGATATACGATGCCAGTGATGCAGCCGCCGCAGCTGCGGCTGAGGATAGTTTCAAATCGGCAACATTACCACACAAGCATTCCGATTATAAGTAAGTTAAGGAATTTATAAAAAATATAATTCCTTTAAAATAAAATGTCTCTCAATTTTTTTACAGAAGTCCAATTATGGCCCCCGTGGCAAGTGAAAGTGAAATGTCCTTACGGCAATTTGCAAGTATTACAGATCTGCTGACAAAGTTAAGAGCTGATTTGAGGGTATCATTTCCAAGGTAAGTTTAAAGGGAGGAAATTCAAAAAAAAATAATAATACTATGAAATTTGAAAATACTATAATTTTTAATTTTAGAAAAATTTTAATTTAATTTAAAAATTTAATTAAAAAATTATATTCTTATAATTTTTTGTTTTTTTTTTTTTAGTTTCGTCCAAGAATTTGTGGCCACACCTTCGGATGGTGTTAGCCTACTATTGGAGGTATTACGGTCCATTCAACTGTCACAAGCGGTAAATGCTCCCATAAATACCATCAATAATATCGGAACAATGCCTAGGAATTCACAGAGCTATCAACGTCGCGCCCTGCTTGATGAATTGGCATGCTTGTAAGTAGCTCAATAACCACCAACAGGTCTAATAGTTCTGCTTATCATTAAATATTTTTTTTCTATCTTCTAGACAATGTCTCAACATTTGCTGCTCCCGTTCGGTGGAGGCCACCGCCCGTTTGGGTACCACACCCGTGGGTTTAATGCCCTTGGCATCATCGGCAACGGGTCAGGGTATTCGCGCTCGTATCCTAGCAATGCAATTAATGGCAAATGCTTGCGATAAGAACTCTTTTGGTCATGGTAATCAAAAATTGGCTACTGCAGGTCATACAGCAATATCGGATGCAATGTCAACACTGCGTTTAAGATGCAGTGAACCGGTACGTTTTCGTTTGCTAATGGGTATGCTAAATAGTGGCGGAGGTTCGGGCGAGTTGCAAGCTGTGGGAGTGAGGTAAAGTATCCGTTTTCCGATTTTTATTAAGATTCACTTCGTAAAACTTTTCTTTTGTTTTCTTATTATTTCCCCTCAGATTCATCAATGCATTCTTGGAAAGTTCAGAAAATCTTCAACAGCGTTTATATTTGCAAGCGGAATTATTCCAGGCTGGATTTGACCCCAATAATTTGGCAAAGGTATGTGGTTTTCGGTTTAAAATGAGGGTGCGGCGGCTGTGTCAAAATATGAACCTATGTTCAAAACTTCCTCCAGAGACGTTGTTTAACCTCCAAGAACAGACACTTATGTGGAAAAATGCGACTAAAACCTTCAAAATATCATAAATCTTGAAAATACAGGAAATGGGGTAGGACCTTAATATGGTGGCTATGCCAGAACATAGACATATATATAAAAATGCCCTCCACGAACCTGGTATTTCAAATTACAGCCAATTCGTTGAGATAATTGGACTAGAACTTTCAAAGCATGAAAACGGGGCCATAATCTGATATAAAACTGGGCTGTACAGTTACGTAACTGAGGATCCTACTTTGGGCGCCATTTGAAATAAAATAGTCCAGGAAATTTATTTTAAATGAAGAAATATATCTTATAGGTCGTATGTTGGGCGCCATTTGTGGTAAAAAAAATCTTTAAAAAAATAATATTTTTACTGGTTCCACGTTGGGCGCCATTTGAAAAATAAGATTTGTATACTAAACTAATTGACGAATTTTATTTCAAAGGAAAAGTCAGCTCACTTTATATTTACAACATTTTCAAAGTCCAACAATTCTTCACAGCCCTAGTGGGATCACAATGAGGTTAAAATGAAACATTTAAGATTAGCAAACACAACTGTCGAGTTATGGAACAAAGGTCCCCAAGTTCAACACTTTTTCATATAGGGTTCCATTTTGTTTAAAAAAACTGTGAGAAAATGCCAGTAGAACTTTCAAAATATGCAAATGGGACTGGTTCTTTATATGGATCCTATGTAAATTTTGGACCTATATTGATAATATTATGTAGATACTGTTTTCTTCCTCCGGGATGCCAAAATGCCCCTCGAGAAATCCGAACTGCAAAATGACAGCCAAGTCGGATGAGAAAGTACCGAACATTTCGGGTATAGTTATATGCAGGCTATACCTAAACGCGGACCGATATTTAATGAGAACCCAAAATATTAAATTACAGCCAATTTGGTTGAAAAACGTGTCCAATTCCCTAAAATACCGAAATATGGCGGGTACAGTTATATATGGGCTACACCGGAACTTCAGCCAATATTTCAATATTTTCGGTAGGATGAGCAGAACCATCCTAAAACTACCACAAATTGGGGGGTATCGTTATATGGGGGCTATTTTAAGCCCATTTTCGAACTAGACGTGACTGCCTGTAGATCCTTGAAAAATATTTAAAAACATCCACATGTTTTACCTCAGATGACACATTAAAGAAATTTTCACCCTGAGTTAATTGCTCTTCTCCCTCCCCTTTTCAGACAATCTCTTCCTCCTCACCCTGGTTGGATGTGTTGCGAAGTGAGCTAAAGAAATTCCATGACATTTACGTCGATGTCGATAAAATGATTAACCAATCCCGAGAAGCCGATAGGGTTCGCAGTCAAATGGTAATACTCGAACGTAGAGTACAAATATTGCACGAAGAAAAGGCCGTGTTAACCTCGATGGAACGTCGCCTACAAGAACGCTGTGCTGAGTTGCAAAGAGAAATATTCCGTTTACAGGGAGCACAAAATGAAAACACATTCAAATCTCTCGATAAACAACCGGTTACACTGCCTCGCCACATTCCACCGGGTAAACAGCAAGATTCCTCAGAACATGAAGATGAGGGTATTAGTAGTTCAGATACAGGACCCTCGCTATCGCCTGTGCCAATTTTGGTCTTACCACAAAATAGTAAAAAACATGAGAAGCTCCCGGCCGATCCAGCCATTGAGGATGCCATGGAAGAGTTGGACAATGTGGTGAATGAAGCTGAGAAACAAATCTCCACAAATGAATGTAAATTTAATAAAATCTGCAAGGAGGCTAAGGAAAAAGAAATTATACCGAAAAATATTGTACCACAACCGCCAAGAAAATCTCGTTCCTTGGCCCATTTGGTACAACCGGAGGGTTCAGAATTAGATGGTTCCGAATATGGTATGCTGATGTTGCAGAAACCCATAAATCCCAATCAAGAAGTGGCTGCCTTGAAAACCTTTTTCGATGAATCCGATTATGTTATACAAGATCAGGATAAAGCGTATCATCGAAATGCTTTGGACTCCCCTGAAATCCCTGAGAATGTGGCGAGTAAACAACATTCGAATAATACCACCCGAGAACTGCTGGATGTTATTATGAATGCCCGCCACTGTGAAGATGATCCAACAATGAAAGCATTGCGGGAAAGTTCCGATAGCCCAGCTAATGATGTGGAAGATAACAGTAATGCCATTGTGATGAGTGGAGCCCCTAAGCGCGAAAGTTTCACCGAAACCAATGGTGTACCACCACAACAATTCCATGGCGTATTTTTTATGACCGATATGAATACGGCCCAGAAATATCCTAAACCAGATTTAACAGCTGCCCTGCAGGCACGTCGGGTAACCAAGAATGTTGAACGTTTGGAGGCCGTATTCGCCAGCCACAACGAAGCCTACAATGAGGCAGATCAACAGAATGGTAAACGCAACAGTTTAATGCCCAGCCATCGTGAAAAATCACGTAGTAATCAACAGATTTATTTTGGCAGTAATCCCACCATACGCATCGGTCCCTATGCCCAGCAGCAGCAACAACAACAGAATGTAAGACCGGATCTTTTAAATAACAGTAGTAATGTGACGACACGTACCCGTTCGTATACACAAGGCTCAAAAGTAACCGATATACCATCGGGTTTATATTAAAGTAATATTTTTTAGTAGTTATAGTAGTTTTATGCATTTGTATGTAGTTGTTAGAAAAATCGAAAATGAAAACAAAAGCTTTTGTGCAATAAGTTGTCTCAAAGTTTATTTTATAGGTTATAGTTTTAAGTTACTAATTTATTAATATCTATATAGAGTTATGTAATAAACAAAAAGCATACTAAACCACTTTTAGGTTAATATATATAGGACGATTTTCATTAGGCGCCATTTATGTTAAACAAATTGTTTACAATATTTATCTCAAAAATGAGATATTTTTAAAGGACCCACTTTGGGCGCCATTTTAATAAATTTGAGTATACTAAAAAAATACTAAAGAAAACAAACCGTTAGGCGCCATTTGAAGAATTTAATTTGTATTTTACGATTTTTTCATTATTTCAAAGGAAAAAATCATTTGAGCCAGATTTGGGCGCCATTTGTATTTTATAAATTCCTTAGTTCCAAAAATTCTCCACAGCCCTAGTGGGATTACAACGAAGTTATTAAGCTACTCATTACACATAATTGTTAGCCTAAGATCCCGCATAACTAAATCAGTCGAAGGTAAGGATTATATGAAAGTTTGTATTGTTCGGATGTAAAACGTAAAACGAACAGCTAATATTGGATATATTTTCAATTTCTTAAAATTCGAAAAGTGTCGAAAATATATTTTTTTTTGCGTCAATCGTCAAGTACAAAAGCTAGAAAAATGATATCTAACGAAATACAGGGTAATAACACCTAATGTTAAACCAAAAATCTGGGTCAATGGGACTATAGTCGCTCAGTCCAATAAGCTCAAAAAAGTAAATAAATCAGCTTTTTATACAGTGGACCCATTTGAAAATCTTCGATATAAAGGTCCGAAAATGTGGGGCAACAACATTCTAAATACTTTAGATTGAGTAGTAGCCTTAAATGAGAGCTATACGAATCATGGATCTATATTGATTTTTTAGGGATTCTATACTGAACTCGAAGCCTTACAAATCTATGGGGTCCTTCTACTCAGCAGATGTTCCATGATATTGTTGTTGACCGCATAAATCACAACCTTTTGGGTCTCCATTTTCAATTATTTTTGTCGATCACTGTGTAGAGGTTCTCGTCTCTATAGTGCCTCCTGGCTACCATTGCATAAGATGGCAACTCACAATAGGTTCATGATGCCATATCCCCCTTACGTTTAGTTCGAATATATCCGTCTGTTGTTCGCTCTTGTTTCTCCGGTTCATCTTGGCCAGTTTCCGCCACTGTGCCCCATATAGCTACTCATTTATTGTCAAGAACAGGGCTTCTATACTGAATTCGAAGCCGTACTAATCTGTAGGGTCGCTTCTATTGAACAGATAATCCATAATCTTATTGTTAATGCCATCCCCATTTTATAGGGTCTCCATTTTCAGTCTCTCGTCTCTATAATTCCTCCTACCTACATTCGCATAATAAGGCGGCTCATTCCAGGTTATTGATGTCATATTCCCCTTACATCCGTCTGCTGTTCGCTCAGGATTCTTCGGTTCATCCTGGCCAGTTTCCGCCATTTCTTGTCGTGAACGTGGTTATATCCTAGCTCCTAGCTTGCATCTTCCACCATCTTATCAGACTCGTCGTTTTTCCGAGGTTCCAAGACAGTTTTGTCGGTCTTACTTCGCATTCCGACATTGAATTTAAGTTCGAATCCCCGCCTGTCTCTTGGTCGAGATTTATCTTCCTCGGTGATTCTTCAACTCAGATGCCTAGACACCCATATCTATAGAAGAAATTTGCTGGATGCCAACGAGGTGAGAATAGTAGGCAGAAAAACGACACCCGGCCGAAACTGGGTCATTTAGAAACTGCATCCTAAGTTAATTTTATGTTCCTCTTCCATACATTGTTTTAGGGGAACAACCTCGTAGTCCGTCTTAAAGCGGGGGGATAAAACCAAGAGATTGGCAACTACCTGGAATTAATTTCAATTATCTAAATTCAAATTCACAATTTAAAATATTTCTCTTGACTATAAAATAAGGGTTTCAGTCTGCAAGAGGGAATTAAGGTCCCACAATTTATATCCTATCAAGAATTGTATTCTTTATATCAGAGATCCACAATATGTTTCTAATGGATAGGGTTTCTCTTTATATCCTTGTACGAATAATCAGGATTCAACTGTACATATAAGATAATACTATGTCATTTTGTAATCCCAGAACCTCACTCTAACCTCAAAATTAAATATTTTTTCTTAGTTCTAGTCCAAGACACCGTGAAATTACAAAATTTACTTTATAGCCAAACAATATAAACTTTTATAAAATTTACTTCTGATTAACATTAGGAAATTGTAATTGTCACAATTCCATAGTTTGCAGATGAGAGAGAATTACAAACCTGTGGGGAGAATTACAACCCTTTAACTCTCTCTCTCTCTCTCTTCAACAAATTGAGAGTTGTCACAAGTAAAATAATCTAATATAAATCATTTGTTGTTATTCAGATTTTTATTTTTAAATTAAAATAGATGTAAAAGTTGTATTCATTAAAAAGTATATTTAAAAATATATTATTTTTAATTAATCAATTTAAATTATACATATTTGTTTAAAAATCGATTCAGCGGTCCAAAAATAGTATATTTACAAATATATGTGACTAACAAAATAACTTCTAAGAAATAAATATGGCGAAATATATTTTAAATTAAAGGGAATTTTGCTATAAGATTATTCGACAGCAATTTGTTGGAAAACATTTGTTTTATAATTTAAAAACAAATCTATTATTTTAAGTAGTGTATTTACAATTTAAATAAATTTAAGGCAACACTAATATTTTTATAAGGAATATATAAAACACATACATAAATTACTAACTAATGATCTGATCGATAATACGTTGTAATTATATACACATACATAAAAATATATCCATATTCCAAAGCTATTCTTTAATTCAAAACTTCTTGTAACTTCCCTTCTAAACTTGATAAAATTCTACAAAGAAATACTAAAGAATTTTACACCAAGTTTATTGTATCTGCCTCTATCCTGTAACTCAGTATTTACTTATATCTTCTCTGTATTCCTATATAGCACATTTAAACGCACTGTAATTTGTATTTGCCAAATTACAAAACAAAATAAAAACACTTTACTAACTTTTCTTTTATGCAAATATTAGCACAAGTGTTTCAAAAACAAATATACAATCTTCCTCCAAATAGCAAACATAACCTATATATGTCTCTGTATTATGTATTTAATGTATTAATTTTATTATATGTAATAATTAATATAATAAGTTCAACTATTTGACAAATAAAACTCATATTTTTTTGGAATGTAAGATAAATATTCAAAATAAATTGTTTGGTTTTATTTATTAAACAAATAAAAAGAATATGTTTCAGGTAACTGTAAGGCGTGGATTGTTTAAAAAAATATTTTTTGAAGTAACAGTAAGGAGTGGATATTTTAAAAAATATTATGTAATATCTGCAATACGAAATAAGTTATGGCAAAAATAAATGACGTTTAATTTTGGGATCTAACCAATCAATAGATGGCGCTAACGACAAATGTTTGCAGGGTTGCCATGTTAACAAAAAAGCACCCAATTTAGATGCTGTATAACTTTTAAATGCGTAAGGATACAGAAATAATTTAAATGGATACTGATAGCCTTTATTATTCACAATCTTACAGTATCCAAAAATTTTTGTCTGGGTTTCCATGTTTGCGGAAAATTGCAGTTTTTTGGGATTTTTCATAACTGTTGAACGTGTAACGATACAGATACAAATTTAACGTGTGACTTAGAATAAGTTTATTGTAATTGCGTATTTGAATATTTACCGGAGTTGCTATGGCTTCAGAGAATCTTTAATCAATTAATTTTGAGATTTTATTTATTTCACAAGAAATTATACGATCGTACCTTTTATATGACACCAATATTTTTTAGTGTCTGCACTACGAAAAAAAAGTTATCACAACAGATGGAATATTCACAGACGTCGAATTTTTGAAGGACATTAACATGAAATTAAACATGTCATTCTGCAACCTATACTAAATTTTGGTCAGATATAGAGTTGCTTCTTACAATGGGACAAAATTAAGTAAATAAATTTAAAGAAAAATATTGAAATCTAAACCGATTTCATCGAAACTTGTTCAACTTTTAACAAATTTCGTGCAAATCGAAGGATATATAGAGACTTTGCTACATCATTTACATAAAATCGGACGAATATATATATGGGAGCTATATCTAAATCTGAACCGATTTTTACGAAATTTAACACACATCTTCCTAGACTTAATTCACTTCGCTGTACAAAATTTCGTGCAAATTGAAGAATATATATGGACTTTGGGGCACCATTTACATAAAATCGGACGAACATATATATGGGAGCTATATCTACATCTGAACAGATTTCCATGAAATTTAACACACATCTAGACTTAATTCAGTACGCTATGCCAATTTTTGTACAAATCGAAGGATATATAGGACCTTTGGTGCACCATTTACATAAAATCGGATGGAAATATATATGGGAGCTATATCGAAATCTGAACCGATTTTCTCGCAACTTAGCACACATCGTTCTAGACATACCTTAGTACGCTATGCCAAATTTCGTGCAAATCGAAACTTATATAAGGACTTTATTGCACCATTTCATAAAATCTGACGAAAATAAATCTGAACCGATTGTTCCCAATTTCAATAGGGTTCGTCCTTGGGCCAAATAATTGACCTATGCCAATTTTCATCCAATTGGAATCATAAATGCGACCTGTACTTTGTTTACAATTTAAAATCGATTCATAAAGTGAAAGTGATATGTCTATCTCGTTTCCTTTCGCATGTTACAAACATATGCACAAAGACATAATACCCTGTACCACAGTGTGGTGACAGCGTAAAATACCTCCTCGCATAAATGTTGTTAATATGAGCCCATGTTTTTAACTTGTCCACATTAAAAGATTCAA